ATTATTTACATGACTTGTTATATCAAATTATGAACTAAAATATTAAGCACAACAGTCACTAGAATTTCATGAAAACAATGTATTGGTCATTGCACTGTGACGTCATTTTTTACATTTTTACTAACCAGCATGCAAATATGTGATAATAGCACTAGATAAAAATCTAATGTGACAATGTTGTCTATACTAACAGGGACAGAGACATGTACATGTACCGGTAGTGAACAACACCATTATTTCATCTTTGTGCGAGTGACCGGTTCTCATTAACTCGTCACTGTGCATATATGCAAAACATAAGCAAGTGTGATGGCCTATACACATGAGACCCATTTTAAACACTATGCAAATTAAAGTCAGTACTAAGGGGCACTTTTAATAATCATTTTATAGTGCTCAGTCTTTGTGTTAACAATCATCAGAATATACAGTCAATTACATCATACAAACTGAAATATAGGTATCACACCACAATTTGATGTTTCAGTTATTATGTTGCTGTCTACTATATCTACAAGACTGGTTGTTGCTATGACAGAATATTGGTGGATTACATTAAGGATTATCTTGGTTATCCTACCTCAAAATGGATTTGTATATCCTGACGAGTTTTTTCAAAACCCAGAAGTCATAGCTGGTAATTATTAGTGTATATTGGTTTGTGTTTATTAATTAGAAGACATTGTTGTCTTGTATGTTTCTATCAGTTTGATTATGCTGTGGGGATAATTATAGCTGATCTTATTAAGGCTACATTTCAGATTAACATCAAATCTGGTATATCCTTGGACATCCAGGTATTTTCATCTCCTGGCAACCATCACGGTGAACAAAGGCCGAAAACTCTCAGAAAACTGTACTTTGGGATGGTTGTTGAGACTCTACTAAACTGTGTAACAAGATTAGCCCTATATGTGCAACATATATACATTCGGTTGCTCATGATTACTTCAAAGTTGAGTTTGTGCTGTTTCCTCGACTTTAGCCTTTTTCAACAGCTCTTCAACCGATGTTCTACAGCAGCTCATGCAGAGCCCATAGGAATACATGGTACAGTGATGCACGTCTCAGCAACGTGGAACGTCTTGTAATGTAGCTCCGCTCCGCTCCCGGGGATGAATATGTTCCACAAGTCAAATTCGGCATGCTGGAGGCCTAAGTCAATTTCTAGAGACAGCGCCCTCTATGGTGGCATTGATTTTGTCACTATATTGTATAAAACATTTCATGATGAATACTAGTATATGATTACTAAAAAAATAGTTGATTTTTTTTTGTTTTTATCACATGAAGAGAATCTCTTCAAATAGTATGAAAAGAAATCTGCAAAAATTTATATTAAATTTTGATATTAATAAATATTCTAAAATGGAAATTTTTATAGAAAAGATATTTGTTTAGGGATCTAAATTATAATCAACAAATGTTTATAAAATCATTTTTTAGTTGGTCAAATTTGACTATATTAGTTTATACAAGACAAGTGTTTACCTGTAAACATTGAATTTTTTCCAGCATTATTCTGAGGTTAAAATTATATATAAAAAAACTAATATTGGTTTATATGCACAAACATGGTTTACAACCAATGTTTGATTTTTAAATACTGAATATTCTAATTATGTTTTTGTCTTGCAGGAGATGTATTTGGATATGAAGTTTATACACCATGGGAATACAATAACAACTCTCCATGTCGGAACATTCTGTTCCCACTCATATCATCAGCAGTGCCATTCATATTACTCAAAATTCTAAACATATTTTTTAAAGATATCGTAACAACTTACACACTTTTAATATTCCCTAGAATGTTCATGTTGTTAGTCTCTTTTATTTTAGATTACTGCATATGCATCTTATGTAAATTACTGAATATTAATCACAGAAAATGTCAAATTCTGTTGACAACATCTTTTATAACATATGTATTTCACTGTAGAACATTTTCTAATTCTTTTGAGTCTATTTTATATGCAGTTTTGTTAGTAATATCTATTCAGTCTATCAAATCAGCCAATGAACACCAAGGTATCAATTCAGCCAATCAGCATGAATGTAGCAGACCAACCAATCAGCATGAATGTAGCAGACCAACCAATCAGCATGAATGTAGCAGACCAACCAATCAGCATGAATGTGTCAAATCATCCAATGACCAACTATGTATTGAATCAGCCAAATATCAACATATCAGTTACTGTGCTTTCAAGATTTCCTTGGTCACTGTATTTGCATTTTTTGTAAGACCCACATTTTTGTTTTTTGCTCCATGGCCAATACTTTATTTCATGTATCATATTGTTGAGATATTACCATGGAAACAGTACTCATCTTTAGTGTTATCTGTTCTATGTGGAGCTACGATACCATTTGTATTTTGTATCTTGTTAGATTCCTGTTATTACACATTTGACATTTCATTTATGTTACAATATGGCATTGACCTGCAACAGGACTTTGTTATAACTCCACTTAATTTTATGAAATACAATTCCAATATTTTTAACTTTTTAGATCAGGGTATAGATCCCTATTACAAACACTTTGTGTACAATATTCCAATTGTATTTCTTCCAATAATTCTATCAATGGCGCATAATTTGTATCAGTCAATCAAACATCATGGTGTGTTACCATGGTTTCATAACATTGACAAAGATCATATTTTTTTGACTATATGTATACTATTTCCAGTGATGTGTTTATCTCTGTGTCCTCATCAGGAAGTACGTTTCATTATACCGACACTGACACCACTTATTCTGCTCTACTCAAAAACATCAACTGACAGTTCAAAATACTTAATAACTTTATGGATTTGTTGGAATGTAGTTTGTGGTTCAATATTCGGAATCGTCCATGAGGGCGGTTTACTCAAATCGCTTGGTTACATCAGAGATTTAGTAAATGATAGTAATAACGTGACTTCCTACGATTTCATATTTTACCATACGTACACACCACCAAAACATTTACTAGCTTACAACCCATGGCTAACCAATCGGCCATTAATGACGATCCACAGTCTCCCTTCATTAGATGAATCTCATTTGCATAATACCGTAACTCGTTTAATGACCCAATGGCCACCTGGTTACCACGACAAGTTTGCAGTATATGTTCTTAGTCCATCACCTTTGCAGTATATATTCGATGAAGATCACGATGAGTACAAATATCAAATCAGGGAACAGTTTTATCCTCATTTTTCTGTGCAAGACCCTCCAGATTTTCATGTCACTGAAAATGGGATATTTGACTTTTTATCACAATTTAGTTTAATTCTGTACAAAGTTGAACTGGATCATACCCTTGTGACTTAAGTTTAATTAGTTTTCCAATTGATTGAATGTATTTCATGTTTCCTAGTTTAACTTCCATATTAATCCAAAATGGTGTCCATGTCATCTACGGTACCAACATGGTGCCACCAGAGTTCATTGTCAATAAATGTCAGTTATTTTTGAAACTGTGAAAAATTGGTTGGTACATGAATGGTCTTTTTTGAGGGCCAAAATGTGACGAAATAACACCTGATTTCATGAGAAACAAATCAAACAAACCAGAAATGTCATACATACTTTAACACAATGAATAACAGGGGATTATTTTTCAAAACAATAGATCAAAAACATTTATTGTGAAAAACAGACTTGTTTAGATTCTCAAATTCCTTGCAAGAAAGATACAAATTGACACACAACATCAATTATTTAACAACATGCATATTATATAATGATGACCTAAAAATATTCACTTTATTCACCAAGTTCCATTAAAACAACACAATCCACTAGTGGTTGATCACAATGTCCATATATTGTGTGTATTTTGTATAACAGCCTGTCCATCTAATTTATTCATCATAAAATAACCTTGAATCTGGGCGATACTGACTTGTTTGTTATGTGATAAAACTGATTTAGCAAAGTCATATGCACTGCTTTCTGGGTAATCTGGATAAAACCGAGAATACATCTGGATTAACTGATCTTCAGAAGCATGTCCTATTAATTCCTTCATGTCGACCCGTCCTGGTCGTATTAACGCTGGATCCAATCTATAAATCAAGCATAAAGACAATTTGTGATATTTTACAGTTGATAAATATGTTGTCCATACAGTGAAAGGCACAAAGCTGAAGTCCATCATCAGCTTTCATTAAAATTCAAATATTTAACAGCGATTACAAAACATTGTCTACTCCCATAATGTGCGAACATCACATAGCAACTGTAACCGCCCACAGAGGTACTTGCTGATTGGAACTATTCATTACTATTAATTAAAACTAATACCATATCCTGCTTGGTCAATTTGATTTTCAGCATCCATATTGATTTATAATATTTATAATGATCACAGATTTGTGCCATTCACTGTATTATATATATCAGGTCATACACATCTCCAACATTGTTATAAAACCCTGGCTACATGGCTTCACTTAATAGTTACAAGACAACTGTGGTAAAATATGCTAACATGTTAGTAATCAGTAGCTTGTAAATGAACCAATCAGTGTGCCTTCATCCGTCAGGGAACCAATCAATGTACTTGTTGAAGCAGATGCTCCATGCCCTTGTTCTAAAACAACCACTGATTGGTCATTTGGTTTCATGATGCTTACTCAAGAATATTAAAAAAATATTTTCCAGGCATTGTCAGATAATGTTAGAATTATAGTGGGTGGTATCCAGGTAGTCAGCTAATGTGTAATAGGAAGCACTTACTGTGTGTTGAAGATATCAGAGACAAGGACTGATAGACATAACAGAAATTGTAAATATCCAACATAAATTAAAGTGCAAATCATTCACATTTGCCAAATAGTGAAGAAGATACACAATTACATTTAATTAAATATGTAAATGAGCTCATTAATACTGCATAATTCACCCCTCACTAAAATCAAATATGCTTAGGTAAATAATATGTTTTTAACCAAAAACAAATCAAGCAATTATACAGACTATTTCAAAGAATTGAAATTCAATAATTGGTTCTTAAGTTAAGACACTAGTAAAACAGACACACAGACTCCTTTCTGTGACTCACAATGGGAGATTCAGAATAATCTGGAATTGTTCATTTATATTTTTCATGTAATTATGACAAAATCTACCATCAACATTATTAACAATAATTTAGAATAATTACTGACCTTTCAAGATAGTTTGTTGTCATGAAGACTATTCTAGCTTCCGTAGATGCTACACCATCCAGTGCATTCAATAAACCACTAAATGTAACACGACCCATACCTTCATATTTAGCTACAAATCAAATAACAAAAGAATCACAATTTGTTACAGAGCCCTCTAGTGATGAAAATATGAAATTACGCTCAATTTTTGGATGTAATTTCATAATGATCATTAATGACTTGGTAAACACAATATAGTAATGAAATTTTATGTTACAACAGTAATGCCACTAATCAACTTAAATGCCTTGCAAGAACCAATAAAATTTTTTAAATATTTTTTTCTCAGGTTCTCCCTGTTTGAGGGCGTAATCACCTGGATCAAAGGTGAGACCAACATGTGGTCTTTTGTTTACTACTTAGCGACTGTGTACATGTGGGTTTATTCTGTGTGTATTTGGATGTTTTAATCTTGGTGTTTTTCCAGGTGTGTCTTGTTTACCTGAGATTTGCAAGAGTTTGAACTGGCCAACATGTTAGTTTTTTTCATATGGTTGATTACTGGCATGTTGATTTCCCATTTTTGAGCCATGTTTTCAACTTTCTTCGTCATTTTCATATAGCAATCTCGTCATATGTTAACATTGTCGTCTATGGAAATTCAATTAGTGGTATGAGCCCATTATAGCAACTGTTGAAACCAGACAATGTATGTTTACAAACAGCACCCTCTAGAGGCAAAACTAAATCAGCAGCAATTCCTTAAAATTCATGCTACAGTATGAAAGACAATGAGTGAAAATCCTTATTTTTTAAAGCTTATCATTTTAAAAAGCAAGATCCTAATATGGAAAAAATTTTGCATTACATTTGTTCCAAACTCCACCTGATAGATTGGAATATGTTGGTAAGAAGTTAATTTATACAAATTATTTTATTTTATTTTGCTACTGTGAAATACTTTATTTTACCTGGAATTAAATTTTGCTGAAAAGACATTTTGGGTGTTTTGTATGGAGTTTAATTTCACTGATTTTTGATGAGTTGAATGTAAAACATGAAATAGGGATATTTGCTGGATTTTATTTTCACTGAATCATCCCTTCAGTATTTTACAGTATTTCCTGATTAGACTTGAATCAAACTTCATTAACTTGAGAGCAAATCACAAAAAAGTTTGCCCCCAAGGGATGAATAATGGAAATGTGTAATGTCATGCACAATTCACCATTCACCATTGTTCAATAGGGTTACCATTGTAAAATGAGAGTTTCCCACACACAGTACATGTATATTGTATAAAGTATTTGAGAATTAATAACAATGTTTACATTGACTAGGTGTATTTTGTCAAATAGAGGGCACACCACTGCTTGATACAATGAGACTCGCCATATAGATACATTGTGATAAATACTTACCTTCTTTACTCAGTTCTCTTGTAATGAAAGCAGCATCGATGTCTTCTAATAAGATAATACTTTGTTGAGGTGCTACACACAGTAAATGGTTGAGTCTATCATCTGACAAACCTTTATCACTTAGATTCAACACACATATACTGTAATCCAATGCACCAGCAAGTGCCATTCTATAACCATAAGTCAATCAAAAAGAAAGATGAGATGAAAAAAACATACATTCACTCAATTAAAATTCTGTAAATCTATTCCTTCTACAATGCCACAATCTACAATCGTGAAGTTTCAACAATACATAACTTATAGTGAGAATGAATTAGCAATGAAATCAACAACATCAATGTCCTTGGCTCAGAATGTCATTTTTAATTTTTGCTATTCGCAATATTTATTATTTTATTATTTTATGGCATTCATCAGTTTCATGAAAGTTGCTGACACAGAACAATCAAAATAATTTCTACAACAAGATTTCAAAATTTTCACTGACCCTCAGAATTTGGGAAAATATTTCACTCACAAAATTAGAGTGGTTTAGAGTAACATATGTGAGCCAACACTGATGTACTAAATAAGTATTGTTGAGAGTTGTAAGGTTAAATGGTGTAGGAATGCTTACATGTAACTACTTTTACCACACCCAGGAGGTCCATGAAGTAAATATCCTCTTCTGTATGGAATGCCTGTGATAAGAATTGACAGTCTGACATTAAGTAAGACAGTATAAAACAGAAAACAATAAAGTGCATAAATATGTACTGCGACTATATTGATTACGTTATGTTTAAATCAAACTTATCTTTTTTGTATGTACAAGTAAAATCCTACCAGTACGAAACAGCAGATTTTAAACAGTCTGCAACTGACAGTAACCCAGCCCACTGAGTGCTTATATTGGTCAGACTGTAATCATTAGTAACCTAGCCCACTGAGTGCTTGTATTGGTCAGACTGTAATCATTAGTAACCCAGCCCACTGAGTGCTTGTATTGGTCAGACTGTAATCATTAGTAACCCAGTCCACTGAGTGCTTGTATTGGTCAGACTGTAATCACTAGTAACCCAGCCCACTGAGTGCTTGTATTGGTCAGACTGTAACTGTTAGTAACCCAGCCCACTGAGTGCTTGTATTGGTCAGACTGTAATCATTAGTAACCCAGTCCACTGAGTGCTTGTATTGGTCAGACTGTAATCACTAGTAACCCAGCCCACTGAGTGCTTGTATTGGTCAGACTGTAACTGTTAGTAACCCAGCCCACTGAGTGCTTGTATTGGTCAGACTGTAATCATTAGTAACCCAGCCTACTGAGTGCTTGTATTGGTCAGACTGTACCTGTTAGTAACCCAGCCCACTGAGTGCTTGTATTGGTCAGACTGTAACTGACAGTAACCCAGCCCACGAGTGCTTGACCTGTAACAACGTCCTTTGACCTAATGGGTCAAGTCTGGAATTAATCAATCAGAATTTTGTGTTGTACCGATGCAATTCTGCAGAAATTCTAGAAGACTTTCTGGTAACGCAATGCGGATTATCGATGTTGTACTAACATAAGTACAAGTAAACTGAATATGGCATGAAATATTTACCGCATTTTACTTTTATTAACAGGTCATTGTCGAAGCATGGTTTATGCACGGTTACCGTGGTCTACGCATTTACAACATATTCACAGCGGTTGATATCCACGCTGTATCATACATTTTGTATAAAAACGATTACCAGTATTCGTTAAGCAATGATCAAAGACCAAGTTTTAAATTAGTGGCATTTTGATGGGGTGGACACTTTGTCGAATGTGACCCCAATTATAGGAATTGCGTAAAAGTGGAGGGTGGGCACTTGACCGGTCATAGGAGCAAACATAGTCCAGTACGGTATATTGAAATAAATTTCCAACATACCAGTACACAGACGGGAAAAACAACATGCAAAGTGTGCACCCAAATATTTCAAATGCTGTGTCAA